ATGTTGCTGCATGCCGCAACCAGTTGGTTGTTGACTGTTGCGGCCTGCAGTGCGGCGGTGTTGGGGCTTAGAAGGGGGGCTGAGTTGGGAGAGGGAAGTGGAGGTTGTGAACTGAGGGATCGACAAAGGGGTGACCTGGGCAGTTTGACGTTGGGGTTTTACCAAGCTGTTGCAAGTGGCCGCCATTGTGGGGCCCTTAGGCAAGACAAGATTGGAAGGCCCTCTCACGCGAGTCTGAGTGCACCCCTCTTGGATTTGAGAGACTAAACCTTTCTACTTCTGCCCTTCTTACTCTAAGTCTAGTCTGTTGGTTCTGAGGGGAAGGTGGCAGGCGGGATTGCAACCCGTAACCCGCGCCACGGCCTATGTGGGAGGTTCGCCCCACCGATTGCGGGAGCTCTGCCGGAGCCTAGGCGAGGCTCTGGGGGAAGGGAATTGAAAGGTAACCAATTGCTTCCCCTCTATATACCCTGGTATAACCCCTACCTATACATCTTGTTATGTTTGACTGAGTATACTGCATGCACCCTACTTTGACTTTAGTTTGACTGGCAGGACACAACTCAGACTAAGTAAAGGAATGTGTGGGCGATCTTAGTTTCAGTTTGTTGATTGCCTGAATGAAGATTGTGAACAAAGGGGGGTTGCCTCTGATGGAAGGGGTGAGAGAAAGACAGTTGCTTGAGATTGAACCGGTCCTACGGGGTTAGGCATGTTCCATGAGATTGGATGACCTGACCGCTGTGTTTATTCTGATTTTCTGAAAAGGCAAGGCTTTGTTTCTAAAATGAATGGCTTGGTCGTTGTGTTTATTTAATTTCGCCAGACTTTGTTTCTAAGATGAATGGCCTAACCACTTATTTTATGGGGTTTGCCTGTGCAGATTTGAGGACCAGACTTTGTTTCTAAGATGAATGGTCTGACCGCTGTTTATTTCAGGGTGGCTCAGAAAATCAGCTAAGTCCTATCGAACGTGGCGAGCCTCTAAAACAACGACCTGTCAAGTTAAACCCAAACCAAGTAGTGATCTCACTCAGCCACATGCAGTGCCAAACCACAAAGGTAAGTACTCTCACCAGCCCCAAGTCAACTTAACAACCAATAGTTCATAGTCTTTGAATGACTTAACCCTTTATACCCAGCTTACATAAGGCATAAAGTCAGGTCATTCAATCTTATGAAACATGCTTGACCCAGCCACCAAGTATACACGATCAGGTTGCACAACTACTTCTCTCTTCCTTTGGGCATATGACTAAGTCATTCATCTTAGAAACAAAGCTTCGTCGCCCTGAACTGTTTAATATCCAAGTAACTGTTATATATATCTCTCTGACTTAATGTTCAAAGTTGGGCGTAAGACTGAGCCATTCATCTTAGAAACAAAGCTCAGCCCACCCAAAGTTACCTTCAACCATATTCTTAGTTATACTCTCTTCAAGTTGTGATAAGCTATAGTCAGGTCATCCAATCTTATGGAACCCGTGCCTGACTAGCCTGTTCATAGGTAATATAGTAATAGAATATAACCAAATTATAACATTTTGGGTTCCATCATATGTGAGGCAGTGTTCCAGACCATTCAATCTTATGAAACATATCTGGTCCCCTGCCAAGTCTGTTTCTCTCTGAACCATCTGTGTGCGGCATGAGTCCAAAGTCATCCAATTTTATGGAACATGCTTTGTCCTCTGCAAGAATTACTCCCTCAGAATAAAACAAGCGAAAGAGTTTGACCATTCATCTTAAAAACAAAACCCAGCCCCCTCTTCTCAGCACAAAAGAAAACAGAGCACTCTGCCCGCCGCCGCACCCCGACCCCCGCTGCCGTCAGACTGTTTGCCTACCCGACTGTGTTCTGTTTTTTTTTTCTTGGCAACCCGAGTCAATACTACTGCAACTAGGCCTTTCTTGGCCCAGGCCTCTGAGGCTCTGACCCTGAAACTCGAATTCGGGATCTGAATTGTGGAAGACCACGCATAGATCGACACCAACAAAAAAAGAAAAAAACACAGAAAAGGAAATCAGGAAAAAAGAAAAAAGTGAAACAAAACGTAAAAAACAAACGGAAACAGATATGTGCATTGTGCACACACATGCAAGCATGCACCGTCGTGGAAAACGGAGAAACCCATAACTGTCTTGGACAGTGACCGCACACTGCCCGCCGGTGCCACCACACTACAAAAGAATGTGGCACCGAAGGCTTGCACATCTGTTCAGCAAGCCTTCAGTCTCATGTGGCACCGGCRTTTCCAGGCACGATCCTGTGGTCCCATGGTCCCACCTACCGTTGATTTGTTCAGAAAACTCAACGTGTGGGTCAGTGGACTCAGTGCCACAGTGCCGCCGAGTCGACACGAGGCTTGTAGGAGTCCAGCAGGACGACTATTGTTGATCTGCTGAAGAGGCCTCCATGTCGCGTGCGCTTGTCACAAGTTGGCAGCGCGGCCTTGCGCGGTGAGGTGAGCGCTGA